TTTTAGCAATAGGGGTAAAATATAAAAGCTCCATTAGGAAAGGCAGCTGACAGCATTGGACAATTAAGCCCAGGTAAGCACCAACCAAAACCCACTCCACTGCTTTTGGCACCAGAGTGCTATGTTTTCATTAGCAAACAGGCACTGTTTAGTGTCTTCTTGCCATAATTATAAGGGTCCACTTATAATTCTGTGCTTTCAACTACTCTTAATTATAGGACTTCTTAATTGTGCACTATGAAACATGTTTTCAGGGGGAATCTGTTTTCCACTTTAAAGCCTCTCCTGCAGCAATGTATTTGCTTTACAAAACTTCAGAATAAAGGATAGAGGCCTCTGTAAATTCATAGTCGGCACCTTCAGGGAAAAATCACTTTGTTAGAATAGCAAAGTGGCCCCAGTTTGGCCTTATTTTCTAGCAAAAACTCATTGCTTTGCTGCATTTAATAATCCATGAAACATTTCTATTAACTCCAATGTGTTAATTGTGTGACTGCAGAATGGGTGAAAAAAAAAGTAAGAATCAGGAATGCAATGTATGCAGAAAATGAAAATAAGTGATATCTTAAATATTTGATCAAGGCCTTTATTTTCAAGTAACCAGTTACCAACTTGGGCTCTCAAATGCCAACAGAAGCCACAGAATACTAGTCTGAATTATTAAAGTGACTAGGAGAACCTTGTTTCTTTTTACTATTTTTAAATGAGTATGTAGCCTTTCAAGCTAACCTTTGTTTAACTGTTTAACACAGACATTGGGTCAAATATAAAAAAGCAAAAGTTCTCAGTCTAATCCTCAACCTGTAATTATAAATCAGATTGTATAATACAGCTCAGCCATTTCATTTTTCCCTCTGTGTTCCAACAATTCTTTTTAATTTAAGAGGAACTTAACCTAGATTAGCTGAAAGTCTGCATTCTAGAATATTATCTGTATGTTTAATGAGTATCTTTTTCATTTGCTCAATTCCATTCATTCATTCATTCAACAGATATTTATTGACTATCGGGTGCTAGGCACTGTTGTGGGTGTCAGGAAGTATCAGGGAACAAAATGTATAAAGGTTCAGCCCCTCTTGAGCCCTACACTTCAGCCAAGGAGACAGATAATGAGTGAAATATCCTCCAATGATAAGTAATAAGTACTATGAAGGGGGTTGTATGGGAGTGTTTTTGTTTGTTTGTTAGCTGGAGCAGTCTACTGAAAGCTAATGAATTGGGAAAGTTGCCCAAAGAGCGAGCAGTGTGTCGTTTCAGCCAGTGAGGAGAGCAGCACAATGGTTCTGGGTGCAAATAGACCCAGTAGTGCACAAGGAACAGCAACGGAGTCAAGGAAACGAGAGATGAGAATGGGTGACTGTTGGAGCACTTGTGGGGGCAGAGCCTTAAGGGCCTTGCACACCCGCGGGAGGACTTGACATTTTATCCTAATTGTGGTAGAAGCCACTGGAGGCTTTTGAACAGAGGCATGTTGTAAACTGATCCATGTTTTAAAAGTATAATTTTAGCTAAATAATAAGTATAGCCCAATGGAGCCAGGCCGACAAAATGGAGGTTTTCTAGTGAGGACCTGCTTTGATGCCGGTATAAGGAGGATCTGACATGAGCATTGTCTGTTCACCGTTTGTAAGAAAACACCTGCCCAGGGGCAGTGGCTCACACCTGTAATCCCAACACTTTGGGAGACCGAGGTAGATCACCTGAGGTCAGGAGTTCAAGACCAGCCTGGCTAACATGGTGAAATCCCGTCTCTACTAAAGATACAAAAATTAGCTGGGCATGGTGGTGAGAGCTTGTAATTCCAGCTACTTGGGAGTCTGAGGCAGAAGAACCACTTGAACCCGGGAAGCGGAGGTTGCAGTGAGCGGAGATCATGCCACTGCACTCCAGCTTGGGCGACAAAAGCAAAACTCGATCTCACAAAAGAGAAGAAAACACCCATCTGGTGAAGTAGTTGCAGTGACTGAAAAGTTTGTCTTCTTTGGCCTTTTGAAAAGTCCACCAGTCTCCCTTTTACATTTTTTGTTGTTACCCACCCAAAGTTTGCTTTTCCTCAGCCACCCCTCAGAAGTCAAGGTAAGAATAGTTTTAACCAGATGCAGAGGCTGCCCCAGGCTATAGCCTCATCACAATCCATCCACAAAGAAGCTTTCCAGAATGTCCTCAGGTCCATCCCGGGACTGTGACTCTCAGCCATCTGCACACTGCTTCCTGCCCAAAGAGCTCCTCCTAAAACTTTGTCAGCACACTGTTAGGCGACAGGAGGAAACTGCAGAAAAATGCTATAGCCAGATCTCATTTTAGTATTGCATTTTTATTCCTAGAAATAATGTTGTAAATGTTCAAAACTATGAGCTAATTGGTCAGTTCCAGCTTTTTTCCCTGTAGAGACCTGTCTTCTGCAGCCTTGGGTGGGATGATTCCAAGGCATGCTCTTCACACTGCTTTCTAGGGTTTTCCCCTAGAAAGCCCTATCATCTATTATAGTAGCTGGCTTAATAATTTTTTATTGAGCTCGCCTCTTCTTCCCTGTATTGCTTCTTCATTTCTCTGCTGGTGTTCTATGTACCTCTCAAATAAGTGCTTGCATTAGAATTATTACATCAGGATCTGCATCTGAAGGACTCAAGCTGACACATCCTCTATCTTGAAGGAGGAAGAATCTTCCTCCTTTCTGAAGTGGCATTACATGGCCATCATCCTTGAGCCATAATGGCATATAGGATTCAGGAGAAATGAAACTTACCAATAAAGGGAGATCTGAAAATATTATTCCCATCATACCCATGATCTGGTAGTCTTTTTGTGAGCTTAAGCAAAGTACATGACTTCGCGTAGGTATTCCCCCTTCTAAAAAATTAGGAGGTAGTTGTGTCTCCAAAATGGATTTCTCAGCCACTGGGTCTCCTCACTTAGGTTAAGTAAAGCTTGGCTATTATATGAGGTTCTTACCTTCCAGCACAAGGGGACACTACTTTTAAAAAAATTATTTCCATAGGTTATTAGGGAACAGGTGGTGTTTTGTTACATGAGTAAGTTCTTTAATGGTGATTTGTAAGATTTTGGTGCACCCATCACCCCAGCAGTATACACTGCACCCAATTTGCAGTCTTCCATCCCTTACCCCCTTCCCATCCTTCCCCCCAGTCCCCAGAGTCCACTGTGTCATTCTTATGCATCTGCATTCTCATAGCTTAGCTCCCATTTATGAGAACATACGATGGTTGTTTTTCCATTCCTGAGTTACTTCACTTAGAATAATAGTCTCCAATCTCATCCAGTTGCTGTGAATGCCATTCATTCATTCATTATTCTTGCCTAAGAAACAAGGTTTCCTCGTAGACCAAGCTTTAGTCTTCACTATCTCAAAGAAAGCTTCCCTTGCATGAGGAAGTCATTGTTCAGCCTCTTCTCTGCTAGGGTCCTGACTCAGAATGACTCTTCAGCCCATGATTTTAATCTAAGGGTTCTAATCAACCTGTGGTACCACATGCTACACAAAATTCTTAGAAATCCCTAAACTTTCTCGTGAGCCTCCCACCCTGCTGGGAAGCAAAACTATTTATCAATTAGAGAATATCCAAAGATGTTAAGCCACTTAATCCTCCCCAACACTCAGTGTGGTAGGGGTTGTTACCTCCCATTTCAGGAAAGGAAACTGAGGCTTCAGAAGGTAAAGAGACTTGTCCAAGATCACAAGCCAAGATGTGGCTTGTGGAGCCACATTTTACATGACAGGTAAGAGAAAAGGGATCTGAGAGGGCATGGACACTGTGTCTTCAGACTGAGTGGGGAAGTACCCTTTACCTGGGTACTTACTGGGTGCAAGCTGCATGCCCCCTGTGCTGATCCACAAGGGACAAATTTATGGGCCTCCTAAAAGTGTAGTCAGTGCACCCGTCCAGCCAGCCTCATGGGTGCACTGTGAGGCGCTGGTGATGAGGGCAGGCTTATAAAACACTCTCCATGCTAAGGTGAGGACATGTTTCTGTGTCTAGGAAACGCTGGAAATTAAGTGTACAGCAATCACAAAACCTTGACATCATCCTTGATGTCTCTTTTTTTCTGCACATTCCAATTCATTCAATTTAGAAACCCTACTGGCAGAATCTAGTGAATCTTGTCCTTCAAGGCCTCTCCCTGCTAGGCTCCCATGAGCCCTGGGGCCTTATGCAGAGTTCTGAGTGGGCAAAGGAAGGCAGACTGCATTAGGGAAGCAAATTTGGGACCTAAATTTCCTAAGAAGGTCTCGGGATAGGGACCCCAATCTCCAAGGCCTCAGGATTTCTTTTCTCTTTCTAAATAAATGTTCACTGGCAAGCCTTAATTCTGTCTTCTCTTTCTAAAGCAGCCCTCCCTTACCCTCTCCCCACACAACTGTGTAAGCTTCAGGCCCCAGAAAACCTTCCCTGCTTTGAGGTCTGGCGTTCACCAGGGCAGGGCTTGAGAATAGAGGTGTAAATTTGTCAGAAGGGAAGCCGGGGCCACTAAGAGAGTAAATCCTCATATAACATGGCAGAAAGTCAATAGATAAATCAAGAAATCGCTATGTAAGCTGCTGCTGCTTCTTCTTCTTTTTTTTTTTTTTTCCCGACAAGCGGGTCACCACCAGAAGAAATAAACGGAGGAACTGTTAAAAAGAGCTGCGATGGGAGAGAGCGAGAGGTGGCCTGTTGTTTTCATTATAAGCAAATCTAGACAACTTTATTTCGCAAAAAGTAAGTGGACGTTACTTTCATGTATTTTTTGTCTTTTAAAAAGAAAATTAAATAAAAATACAAAACAGAATACAAAACCAGAAAATAAAAAGCAAACACGCACGCGACACAGAAGAGCCTCGGCTATTGGGAGCCAGGGGGCGGGGGCGGGGGCGGGGAGAGGGAGAGGGCGGGGCTTAGGGGCCGGGGGCGGGGCAGGGGCGGGACCAGGGCGGGGGCTCCGTAGGGCCCGTCCCAGCGAGGGGGCGGGGCGTAGGCCTGTTTCCCTCAGACTGTCGGCTTTGGGCCAGAGGCGGGCTAGACCCGAGGCCGCCCGGGCGGGAGGCAGACTTGAGCCCCGAGCCCAAGTGTCGTTGCCTCCCGGACGTCGGGCGCGGGACAGCTCGCGGACCAACAGCCCCGGCTAGGCCCAGCAGGTCCCCCAGTCCCCCTCAGTCCCCCGCAGTCCCCCGCAGTTCCCCGAGACTCGCCGAGCGCCGTTGCTGAGCCCTGCGAATAGCAGGTAAGCGGAGCCTGGGGCCCTGGTCAGCCCGCTGGGACCTGGACCGCGGCTGAACGACCCGGCCCCTGTGACTCTCAGTCCCCGACGGAGTCCTGGGCGCCCCCGCTCGGGCGACTGGTGGCGGCGGAGTGTGGAGCCTTCCGGGACCGCACAAACCCGGTTTCCGCGCTGCCTCTGCGCGCCGGCGGTTCTCGCAGCAGCTTATCAGTCTAATCCCTAGCGCCTCTTTAGCTATGACCAGGCCCCGGAGACATGGGTTCGGATCCCACCCTCAGCACTCATGCACTCAACAGTTAAAAATATAAGCACAGTTTCTAACAAGTACTTAACGTGTGCCAGTCCGTGCCCGCTGCTGGTCTAATTGCTGGGGTAACAGTGGCGGGCCAATGGACGTGAGGACGCCATCCCTCATGCAGCTCCCAGTCCAGTGGGAGAGAGAGACACCAAATAGAGATATATGCAAACAAGTGTGAGCGTTAAAACTGGTCAGAGCTATGGTGATGGAAAGTATAGGGTGCTGGAGAGCTTTTATTAGGGCCCCCAGCTACAAAACCTGCTGGAACTAAAACTTGAGAGAATTCGGGGACAGAGAACAACAGAGCAAACTTATTTTGTTGGGAGAGAATGTGGCTTGTTTGAGGAAAGGAGGGTTGGTGGGGCTGGCCTGCAGAGAGTTGGGGGGACAGCAAGTGCCTTTACCTGAATTTCCTTCTCTGTAAAATGGGACTGCTCCTACCCATTGAGAATGGAAACGGTGAATGTAAATGACTTAGCACTGAGTGGTGGGTGCTGGATGTTACTCTGCATTAAACATCCAAGGCTGGGTATTGTTCTGTACTAAACACAGTGTGCCTGCCTCTCAGCAAACTCACTTCCCCTCTCCTTGAGTCTTGTTTCCTCCTCTATCAAATAAGGGGTTCTGAGTAGAATCTCTCAAACAGCCTGTTCTCTAAAATGATGACTGGTTTCGTTGTTCATTCTTGAAATACTTAACTGGAGTCCACTTTACCCTTGCTCTGAGGATTCAGAGAGAAATCAGAAAGGGGCCCTGCCCTCCTGGAGCCCATGTCAGGTGGGCTAGGTGAAATAAAGTGACAGTTTCAGCCTCGCGGAGCCCAGAGGAAGGGGTCTGACCCTCTGGCCTTGCAGGGGAACTCATCCTCGCCTTTGACCAGGTGCACATTTCTCAGAAAGCCACCAGCTGGAGGAGGCCCTGAAGGTGTGGTTCACACAGCTCCACTGAGAATCAGTTACTTCCAGAATTTCACTGGTGGTTCTCAGCTTTCAGTGTCACCCCCTAAAATTGGAGAGAAGACTTCCCAGAAGCGCAACCATGCTGGTACCTTGCTGAGGACATGTCAGACCTTGAGACCTTGTGGATTTGGGAGAGCACTTTAGTTTTCAGGAAACACCTGTCAGCTGCTCACTGTGTTTTATCAGCTCAAATGATCCCAATTTCTTATTTGGCTCTGTTTACACCATTGGTGTAGACAAAGGAATTGCTCCGTGAAAACTAACTGAGAGTCCTAGAGAGTAGGGGAACACAAATGAGGCAGAAGCCTGGCACCATTTGTGTGAAGTGGTTTAAAAAAACCAGGTAAGATGTTAACAGAGGGTGTTGGAGGGAAGAGGAGAGAGGGCAGCCCGTGGTGCAGCCTCTCTTTTCCTCTCTCAGACCATGGCAGGGTGCCAGCCCATGAGAAGGGAAGCTTCAGGCTTGGTGGTCACAGACCTGGCACTTCCCAGCTCTGTGAATGACCCTGGGCAGCTTACTCATCATGTGAGTCGTGAGGATTGTGTAGGCATAACAGGTGCTTGGCATATCGTTGGCCCTGAAGAAATATTAACTCCCACCCTCTCCTTCTCCTGAATGAACTAAAATACACATAGTTGTAGTGTCTACCTCAGAAGGTTATTATGGGGATTTACTGAGGACCTAAAATACACAGAGCAGTGCCTGACATGTAGGAGGTTACTACTACTGTAACTATTGATATCATTTCTTAGTCTGGGCAAAAATTGTTGAAACAAGGCAGGGCAGCAGGGGGAGAGGGAGAGGAGTGAGGGCAGTATGAGGAACTGTGCAGAGTGATTAGTCAGTGGGTTAGATTATCTGTTGCAGCGGTTTTGCCAGAAAGCAAGATCCTGGCAGCAGGGAGGAGTGTTCTACATGATAAAGGGCCCCCTTGGCAGCTACACTGTCAGAAAGCCCCAGAGTTTGAATATCTTTGTAGACTCAGGCCAAAGAAAACATAGCAAAAGTTGGGGGAAACTAAAATGGTCTTTTTGATGATGTGTCTCTAACCAATGGCTTAGTGGGGGTTCCCTGCCTCCTTGCACACCCATCCATTTGAGCATAGTAACTGCCGGAGACGGGTCTAGCTCTTTGACGTGGGAGCTGTGGGGTCTAATTTTGTAACCGTTGCACCCAGCAGAGTACCAGGCCGAAAAGGCAGGAATCAGTAATGATCAAATAAATGAACATAAACCCAAGAGGCAGATTCTTCACTCTGTGTGTGTGTGTGTGTGTGTGCACATGTGTTTTAAAAAGGAATGTGAAAGTAGGGAAAAATGACTAATTTATTTAAGCATTTGCTGAGGCCAAATAGTTTCATGTATGTCACAGCTTAGTGGTGAACACCACAGTCTTGTAGTCAGATAAAATTGCTTGTGTGACCTCCCATGTATCACCAAAGTGCTCTAAATCTGTTTTTGCATCTTTAAAATGAGAATCATTGTACCTAATTCATAGGGCTGTTAGGAGCATGAAGCAAGATAAGCATATGAAGCACTGACCTCAGTCTACAACATCTAGTATGATAAGTGCCCTGTCAATAATGGCTGCCTTATTATGATATTTATTAATCTTCCCAAGGAGCTCCCCCGTGATGAGGAAACTGAAGGCCGCAGGCACAGATGGGTGGCCTTGATTCTGAACTCAGTCCCATCTGGGACCAAAGGCACTTTGCAGACACTAACCAGACAGGTTGTGTGACATGAAATCAACTTTATGTGCATTTCATTCATTACTTAAAGCACTTGACTATGTGAAATTTTAAAAAGAAAAAAACTGCAAAATTATAATTTATGTGCCTTTCAAGTTCAGGTATTTTATCATCTCAATAAATTTTCCATGCATCTATGTTAAACCACTTTGGGCTGTCGAAGCTCTTAAATAAAGTGGCTTGTCCTCACCAGTGTCTGTCTTTGCTCGTTTTTCATGGTTCCCCGGTAAAGATGGACAGATCCCATTTTGCAGGGCAGGCCTCGGGATGGCAGCTCCTGCCCCATTGGTTTAGCTGTGCAGTTTCTCATGATGGTATTTAACAAACCACAGTGGACTCATGATTCCTTCATCACTGTGTCTCTCACATACACATAGGCCCATGTGCCACTCTAGGAATTAGGACTAGAAAGGCATTCTATTGCTAGAGAGAATCTGAGAAATCAGCTCCAGGGAAATCTAAGCTGCTCTGTAACAGGTTTTTGGGTGGAAGTGCCTGGGATGAGGGTGACCGTGCGTCTGAAAAGTCAGAACTCTGCTCTTTCCACCCAGGAGTGCTGTGTCTGGGCTGGCTTCCTGCCCAGTGAAGGCCTGGTCTGCATCCCTGTGCCTCTCTGCTGTCCCTGCCTCTGGCCAGAGCTGCCCCTAAATCCAGAACCCCTGGGGCAGCTACAGAGGCACACCTTGTTGCAGGGAAGCCTTCCTGAATCCACTCCTCAGCCTTCCCAGAATTATTCCTCTGCCAGACTGTGAGCACTTCCACAGCTCTGGAGTGTACTCAGCACCATGCCTGGCGCTTTCTTTCTCTCAATCTCTCTCTCTCTCTCTCTCTCTCTCTCTCTCTCTCTCTCTCTCTCTCCTCTCTCTTCATTCCTTCCTCTCTTTCTTTCTTCTACAAATACTTCAGGCAATGTCCTGGGGATTCAGTGAGTCAAAATGACATAGTCCTGACCCTCATGGAGCCCACACACATCGTTAGACAGATTTAACAGCAGAATTAAGCACATAGACACACACAGCAACACATTTTAAACTGGGTTAACTCTCCTGAAGGAGGAGCCTGGTGTGTCAGGGCAGCATGTGGAAGGAAGGAAGATAGATAAATTTAGTCAGTATCACTATAGATAGAGGAGCCCAAAGTGTTGGGTGGAGGCTTATGTTCATTTATTCATACACCCTTGAAGACCACTGGATGATATTTTTCTATAAATCCTGGTAAGCAATGGTGTATGCTGCCAAGGTCATCCTACTGAGAATGTATACTTTTAAAAACAACTGTGTTTCAGCTTCCAAATGGGAGAATAATGCTGTGCTCCAATTCACCTACCCCTTTATAGTTTCCAGAGTGCCCTCTAGGAAGTTATCTGGTTGGGTGCTCTGGTTCTCAGCAGTCCTATGTCTCATCCTGGGTTGTAGCAGCAAACAGGCATTCAGCTCACCTGAGGGTAAATCTGGTGGCATGGGCGCTGGAGCCCTTTCCCTTCTGAGTGACAGAGTCCACCTTTGAACCTGTTTCCTCCTTCTCGGATACACCTGGGCACACCAGACTGAGGCTTCAGCACAGACTTAGTGTTAGGGCTAGTGGTCTGCTGTCTGAGGGGAAAGAAGGACACTGCTGACTGCTGTTGTCCAGAAAAGTAGGCCCACCCATCTGTGTGCAGCTGTGGCAGGGTGAGCTGGTAGTGATTCCACCCATGCAGAGCCATGCCGTGCCAGCACAGTCCTTCGTGAGGAACCAGCAGTTCTCCAGAGGGGCACCATGCCTGCCTTCAAAACCCATTCATTTCCACTGAGAACAGGGAGAAAAACCACACTAACGTCCTGTTCAAAATAAGAGGTGATCCAAACAGCCTCAGGAAACATTGTCTATCCGTACTTGAATATTATTAGAGAGTTACTTTGGCCAGAGCTGTTGACAAAATACATCTCCAACCCCCACCAGTCTCAGATGTAGACCTTATTACCAGAGATGAGCTGCCATCTTCTCTGCAGCAAG